TTTCAGGCATCGGATCTTTTTCTCTGAGTTTTGTTTTTTTGATTGGGTTGTTTGGTTTTTTTAACTGCCTCAGATGTATGGTGAGAGCACAGAGGGTACTTTTTGCAATCTTACCATACAGCTGGTGTAGTTGAGAGACAGACTGAATATCTTACATGGTAATGGAGCTGTGTCTTAGCACAGTTTCTTCTCAGAGATATCCTATCCTCCTGCCTGTGTTTTCACCAAGACTATGGTCTGTCCTGGAATGTCTGCTGGTTGATCACAGTCTGAGTTTACCTGATTTGGAGGATGTGCAGGCATTTAAGGGACCCTTTTGTGCAGGCCCAGTTCAAGACCAGATTGAAAGTATTAACGCTTCTGTGTCAGCCTCAGTGCTGCCTCCAGCTTTAATGGTGGCCAACAGAAATGGGACAGATGGCAGAAATTAAGTAGAGCTCTCTGATACTTGACCTGGTCTGCAGTGCATGGTAGGACACCATACTGCCCTGCCTGTCAGCAAAGTATCCATGGAAGGCTCCAAAAACACACGTCCTGGCCAGGAACTGTGGTGGGTCTCATGTACTGTGGGCATCAGGGACTTTTGAATGATAGGGAGGAGCCAAGGTCTCTGGGCTCTGGCTGCACCCATTTTACTGCCTGTGGAGTGTGCGTGGACCAGAGCAGGTTCTTCAATCCAAATGTCGTCACAGATTTACATGGGAAGACTGAAAACTGGGGGAAGGGCTGTAGCTTGAGCCTGAGCCACCCAGGACTGAGGAGGAGCTTCTTTCAATCAGTAATCACATGTCCAAATTTACCTGAAATTTCTGTGGTTCTCTGAAAAGGACTGATTTTTGTAACAACAGAGGCCCAGGGCTGTCAGCCTGGAAGGGACTCAGGAGCAGCTGCCGGTCAGCAGTGATTTTTGCCCATCTGCTGTATAGATACCACAGGGTGTTCCATGGCGCTTAGATAAGGGATAAGTGAGGTCCACACACTGCCTCCCCAGCAATGCAGGGCCCTGGTCTTGCATCCTCTTAGAGCCCTGGGATCTGGATGTGGCCCTGTACCACTGTAGGCATTTAGAGCTCTCTCTTGTCTTTGAACATGGGTTTGTGAACCCATTGTCCTTTAAATAAATAAACAGAAAAGCAACTTAGAAAGTTGAGTCCAACTCCCCAGCAAGCAAATGATGCATTTCCCAAGACCCTCCTTGGGCCAATGCAAGCCCCTGGGAAACCTCTCCTCTGTATGAACTTCAAAAAGAGAGAGGCATCAGCATCCTGGGAGTGCTGCCTGATGGTATGCCTATTATCAGCTGCTAAGCAAAGTGTGTTTATTTTAGCACAAAGGCACTAGTGACTAAGCTTGAAATATTTTGAAATTGGTGCTGAAATGACCTTGAGGTCATCCTGAAGGTTCCACAGCTAAACAGATTAGACAGACGTGTAAGGGATGAGCAGTACATAAAAACTCAGGGCTCAAACACCCTGTTAGAGAAACGAACAAGATACCTTGTAACAACAAGTGAAGACATTAAGGTTGAAATGCCAAAGAATTTTAATTGTCTGAATTTTATCAGGTGCGAGATTAGCTAAATTCAGGGTGAAGTGAAAGTGAAATATGGTCAGGAACCAGCAGTTTAAGACATGTCGTAGAGCAACTGATCCTCAAAGCAGCAAGCCACACATTAATATTTCTATGTTTTTCAAAAGACATCCTCTCTGTAGTCTTCGTGATGCATATATAAAGTAGGCAGTGATCAGTACGTGATTCCTCATATGCCATTTAAGTTCTTAATCCTTCCTTTTGGTGAAAATACAATAGAATCTCTGTGCTCAAGTGAAACCTGTGCCAGCCTCTGCAGGCACAGTCAGAAGTATTGCTTTTGAGATGGTCTTGTTTAGTTTAAGGTACTGTCCCGTGGCAGGGAGCTCAGCACAGGGACAGAATCCACTGCCACCCTGCTCTGTGCTGGGGGACAGTCCCAGTGCTGTTTCTTTCACGAGTGTGGCTGCAGCCAGAACATGCATTTCCCAACTTGACCGGGACAGTCCCCAGCGCAGCCTGGGGAAGTGAGCTTTTCCTGCATCTTGCTTTCCCAACTGTATGATGAGAGGGTACTTCCTCACCTCAAAGACACGCTGGGAGAAGTTCTTTCCGAACTGGGTAGGGAGAGGCTGAGAGCAGCAGAGGAAGACATCAGCTCTGTTTGCATGCACTACTCCCAGGGTGGCTGCAGGAGCACACAATCACTTGTGGTTTTTGCAAATTTCCTTTTACATTTCTGCCAGCAGCTTAAAGAGAGTCATGTACAGGAGATAAAAATAGTTAAAATGCCCACCTCTTCCGTAAAAAAAGTAATTAAATCATCCTTGCCCTCCCTCAAAGTGCTCTTGGTGTCAGTTCTGCACAGATTCATGTAATGCCAACTTACAAATTCTTTATAAAGAGGTTTATCCCTTTGCTGAATGAGCTTGCAGCAGGAGCCCAGACACAGCACACTGGCAATGGCACCTACTCTGCGGGTCTGTTGCCATCAATCTTAACCTGCTAATGTCACAGGGTTAAAAATACACTGGGTGCAGAATGGCTGGTAAATGCTTTTTTTGTCACCGCGGAAGAATGATGTCGTGGCAGTGATCCAAACCTCATCCCTTCTGCTGGAATGGCTGCTGCTCATGCACCAGCCAGGGCCTTTTTCCAAAGAAACCTCTCCTCATTCCATGGCCCCATGTATATGTTTTTCCTCACCACTGTCAGCTTGTCTTTAAGGAGAGACATTGCATGTAGGTGGAAAGTCACTTGAGCACCTCCTGTTGCACTAAACAGAGAATCCAGAGCCCACACTACAGCGTAATTTAAAATCAAAGTTAAATGTTTTTGTTTGTTTTTTCATTTTTAGGAGAACCAAATACCAATGTTGTATTTAAATCAGCAGGAGATTTTCAGGAGTACTTCTTGCTGCATTAGGCTTGTTGATAAATTGCTTAGGGCTGTTCTTGACAAGGCTGCTGCAAATCTCAGGTATCCCCATGCCTCTCCCTTCTCTCCTCAGAAACTGGGACTCTGCAACTGCCGGTGAATGTACCAGACTTACCTGTGGACAGACAGGCACACAGGAGGGGTTATCATACAAATGCACACCCTGGGTTATGAGCCACAAAGATAACGTGTCCAAGATTAGATACTTTCAGTTTTGGGCTGTGGGTCCTGTTTTGGTGTCAGCAACCTTGGCAACATTAGAGTGGATAAGAGAAATGAGAGTGGCATGCTTTCGGGTTTGTCGGGTTTTCTTGCACGTACTATCCAGTGTTTGCATTGGTGCAAGGATGGGCTGGTGCCCTGGGTCATATCTGACCTCCAGGCTATGTGGTTGTCCCCAGCAAGGATTAGAAGAGAATGGGGAACAATGACTGTGTTGGGGCCGTGTGCTTTTGGCTCCTACACTGCCCAGTAAACACGGGGCTGAGCAGTGCCTACAGTTTAACCATGAAGCTCCTGCACATGCAAGCCAGGGCTTGTTCCTCAAGGAGCATGCTGCCCTGTCCTCCATCTGGCTTGCTGGCTGAAACCTGGGCAGGGCACTAGGGGCTGCTGGTGAAATGTTGGTCTTAATTCAGTGGCAAAACTTCAGAGATTCATTGGAGCATCTCCGTTTCCCAAGTCATTTCCCAGCCTGAGAGTGCCCTCTGGCGTATGCAGGGGACGATAAAGATTGTAGTTTATTGAAGTGGTTTTACTTGGCTTCCTCCTTTTCTTAACACTTTGCAGCCAGTGTGGTTATTTGCCAAAGGCTGCCAGGTAGGTGCCTGCCATAAAGCACCGAGATGTGACCCCCAGACCAGGCCCATGTGTTGTCCACATTTATACACCCAGCAGCCGATGGTCGCTTTTTTATTGATACTGACCATGTGCAGCATATAAAGCAGGAGACATCTGGGCCACAGTGTCTCAGATCCAGTTTCCTTCCAGCAATGCCTGGTAGGTGTCCAAAACCAGCCTGCAGCAGGTCCTGCTCAGGCTGTGCCCAGGCAGTGCTGCTCCCCCTGCCCTGGGTGCTGTCTCCTGGCACAAGCCTGTGGCTCCAGCACAGAACTGTTCCAGTGATAGGCTGAATCTCAGACCCCGGGCTGAGTTGGTAAACTGGGCTTCAGTGAGGTAGGAACCACCTTTTATAAGCAAACAAAACCTAGCCCTTTTCTCTTGGAGGAAGGCAGGGCATTTAGAAGCGGTGGTGGCGTGAGCGTACATTGCCATAGTTACATGGAACTGGAAACAGACGGTGAATGTGAGGCATAAACACAAAAGCTTCAGTAAATACAAATCTTCTCCATATGTAGAGACCTTTCTTGGAAAAACTTTGTCATCTTGTCTATGTTACCACATTCTGATTTTAAAAAAAAAAAATTAATGGTTTCAAAACTTTCTGTTGGCAGCTGCAGAAACAAATGTGCTGGTACAGAGCAGAGAAGCCTTTTAAGTGCTCTGGTATTGCACTCTGCTGGGGACAGAGTGGGTGGTCAGGGATTGCAGTGCCTTTTCTGGTGGCTGCTGATTGAAGGCACCTCATAGTGAAACAGCAAGGTCGTGACATTTTGAGGAATTAAGTCAAGTATGGGCCACTCTTTGCATGCCCTTTCTTCTTTCCTCCTTGCTTATCTCCTGGGGTGTTCTCCAGCATGAGTCAGAGTATCCTCATTCTTCCCAGAGTTAAAATGCATGTAGTAGTCTGCCAGGAGGTGGTCCAGGCTTGCAAAGCTACCACTTCCTACCCAGAGGTGGGACTGTTGTCTGCATCAACTGACTGGCATTCCTCAGCCACTGCCAGTGGAAGAGGAGATGGGGGCTGGAGTCTGGGAAGACCCATGCTGGGGTTGGGTGCTCTTCTCCACCTGTATGGGGGCTGTACTTGGATGTCTTTATTGGTGTTTGCTTCTCAGCAGCCAGGTTTTGCTCACATTGTCTCCCTGCTCTCTGCTAACCTTCCTTTTATCTCTGTGTTTTTTTTCCCTTAGGTCGAAAGCTGAGAGGAAAAGCCTTTTATTTTGTCAATGGCAAGGTGTTCTGTGAAGAAGATTTCCTGGTAAGCATCCAGTTGGCCCTTGTAATGACACATTTCAGTGTCCCCAGCAGACACACAGCCATTCTGCCTGTCAGTTTTGCCTGTGTTTCACATAGTTCTAATCTGGCATCCTGCCTGGCCCTTCTGCTCCAGCACCTACCCAGAGCCAGCACCAGCCATGGTGGCTGCCCACATGTGGTGCTGGAAGTATCCAAGTGAGAGGCCATGGTTTTGTGGCGCAGAGCCCCTGGTTGAAGCCATAATCTGTTGTGATGGCTCCTTCAAAGCACGTCCCTGTGGCCATATTGTGGAGGCAGGAGTGAGATAAATGGCTACAGAAGAATGATGAGTGAATTTCCCTTTTCAATGGACTGGGTTTGCTTAGGCAACTTAATGGACATCTTTCTGTTGCCCTCAATGGATTTTGTGTGATGTAAGTGAGCATCCTTGGCTGGTGGAGATAAAAAGCCATATACCCTTCTGCCTCTGGGTCCTGATAGATTAATCGTTCACTGAGACTTGAAAAAGTTGTATTTGCCTACTTATTGGTGTAGTCTAGTGATTTCTGTCAGAGACAGGTGAGTTAACCTTTGCTCTAATCAGTATATCTACATAGGCTGAAAATCAAAAAATTGATTAAATGCATCTAAAATATTTCATTTTTCAAGTTTGCACTTCTGCCATTCAGACAGATGATATACTGTGCCTGAGGTGCATGTCATGGACAAGACAGACAGTTCCTTAACGACAGATCTCACCAACAGCAGCAAAAAAGTTGCCCAACTTGGTTGTTATCCTATCAGGGAGCTGGGACAATACCACTGACCTCAGAGAAGCTAGCACTATAATGGTGCAATCAAAGAAAGAATTTGGCTTTTCAAGCCTATATATACAGATATTGTAATATGAATATGGGATAAATGCAAGTAAGTTCCTGGCTTGTAGATTCATGTGGTGAAATAAGCACGTAATAACTCTTATTAGTAAATGCCTTATTTGCATGTGCATTTATGGTATTTACTTTTCTACGTAATAAACTTGAATTTCAGACTTGGAAGTTACAGGAACTCATAGTCCTTCTGAACACGGGCAGTCTAGTGTGTTTACAGAATATCCTCTGGGGACCCATACACACCTTCATATAACGAAAAAAGCATTGGGAAGTTTAGCTTGTGTAAGGAGCACAGAAAAAGGACCAATAACACATATGCAAATAACACCCCACAATACACTGTTGTTTATGCTTGACTGGCCTTGCGAAAATTTGAGAGAATTCTTTTTTGTCCTTGCAGTATTCTGGTTTCCAGCAGTCAGCTGACAGGTGTTTCATTTGTGGTCATTTGATAATGGACATGGTAAGTGATAATTGCTTTACGAGAAAAAACTCCCACAGCTTTTTAGAAGAATGCATCAAAAGCAAAATATATTCATATCCAATACTGTGAGATTGGTAGCAGAAAGAAAATCCACTAAGCCTTTTGTTGATTTTTTCAAGGAAGTGAAGCTGGCACCCTGCTGTGCATGGTGCAGAGACTTTGCTCTGCCTGTTTTCGGTGCGTGTTGAAAAGCAGAGCCTTGAGCTCTTTCATCCCCTTTCAGGCTTCCCTGGACAGTGTATTTGAAATCCCGTTGATGCTTCCTGCTCAGCAGTGCCATGGCTCTGCAGTGCTCTCTTGCTGTGAGGCATCAGTGCAGCTCTCTCAGCCTGTCTTTCCCATGTACCTTCAGGATTAAGCCACTTCCTTGTCATTTTTGGTGGGTGCTGGTAGTCTGGGGTACAGGTTTGGCCCAGAGTATGTGCTCCAGACCTCAGCTGAGATCTGCCCAAGTCCTTGCAAACTCTTCAATAGATATGTTGACATCCTGCTGAAGCAGGATTAGGCAGGTACCATCCACTCTAGATGAGCATGGTGTGGGTAACAGCTCAGGGGGTCAGCTGGCCTTTAGCCAGCACTGGGTAGCATTTAGTTAGATGTTGTTCAGAGGGAGACTGGTGTAGCTGGTGGTGTAACACTACAGCTGAGGAAAAGAAATTAGGAATTTCTGATTCATAGCACACCTCCCAAGATTTTCTAATGCTTATCATTAATTATCTTTTTTTGCCTGCTTACACTGGAAAGCATTTAAATTGGAAAAGGTATGTTTTACTCAGAAGTCTGATGCCTCTGCTGATGGACCATGGTATTCCAGGTACCCCCAAGGGTGAATTGCAGCTGTTGAGTTGAACACAATTTCCACAGTCTGTGCTTATTAGAAAGCCAGGCTAGTAAGTACCAAGCTCTGCAATATCTGAGGAGTTATGAAAACCTAGCAATAATATTTGTTTCAGCTTCTCATGGAGAATATGAAGATATATTTCCTTTGTCAGGCTGGTAAATCTTTCCTTGTGATCCTGCTAAGTGTTCTCTATCTGTTGGCTTCAGAAATTATTTTGTTTCCTTTAAATTCTGTTGCTTCTATCCTTTGTCATGCTAAATACCTTGACTGAGTCTCTAGATTGTTTTCTTACCCATGGTAATAATTAATTTCTCTGGAACCAGGTGCTGGTTCCAGAGAAAATATACATTGATATATATTTCCAGAGAAAAATATATTGATTCCAGCTGCTCTTTCCATTCTTTTTAACTGGTTTTTCAGAAGTGGTGGTGAAAAAAGACACAGCCCTGCTGATGAATATGTAATATTGTCTGGTGTAAAGCTGTATGTTTGTAATTTTCACCTTTATTGGCTATTCACATGCATTTTTTCTCTCTCTTGGTTTGTTGCAGATCCTGCAGGCCCTAGGGAAATCATATCATCCAGGCTGCTTCCGATGCGTGGTCTGCAATGAGTGTCTGGATGGTGTACCATTCACTGTAGACTCTGAAAACAAAATCTACTGTGTCAGAGATTACCACAAGTAAGGACGAAAAAACCAGCAGAGATGTTCCAATCAATAAGCCTCTAATTTAGCTTTTCAGCTAGTTAGGAAGTGTAGATTAGTAAAATAGGTACAGGGTTAGAAGTTTGAGGATGGACCTAGACCCTAGAAATTCCGCATTTCTCCTCTTGTCCTGACATTGACTCCTGTGTAACTCTGAGGAAGTCACATAACCCCTGGGCTTCAGTTGCCCCTTCTGTAAAGCAGAGGGAGTACTCATGAAGTGTTCAGTGATGTACAAAATCAGTCCACTTAAAAGTAAGCCCGTGAATGCCTGTGGAAATTAATATGAGTTACTTTTTGAGTAGCTCAGGAGCTGAGTTTGACTTTTAAAGAATCACCACTGAACCTGCAAAGCAAAGCAAAACTAAATTAAACAACTGATAAATTCACTTTAAAAATCACTTGTTATTTAGACAGTAAGATAAAATGACTGTGCTCTTAGCTGGTAGTTTTGATATTAGAGCTGCATATATTTGAGTCCTTCTGGCTGGCTTTGCTCCTTGCTCCGTTTTCTGGACAGGGAGAGTATTAAGTGTTGCTCAGGCAGCCCTTGGAACTCTTCTGTGTTGTGCCAAGATTAGAGTTGTTATAATCTTGTTGCCAAGATTAGTGCCTCTGTATGCCATTGTTGTTCTGAAATTATGCATATTTCCTTGCGATTTAATTTAATTAATTATTGTGTTATAAGGCCTTAAGAAACTGTACAGTCACATGGTACTGTCTCTGAGGTTTCCTGCCCCAAGGTTGCCACTTCTTTTGATGTGTTTTTCTGGGGATAGTCCTGCTCAGTTTCTCCTCATTCTCTTTTCCAAATCTCTCAGTAGCAGCCAAGAATTTTACAGGGGATTTTGTATTTTTTCTGGTACTAAGTGTAAAATATAAAGTCTGTTTTTGCCTGATTGAGCAACATGTGCCAAGCATTACTTAAAATCAGTGCTAAAGTGAATTTATGATCTCAGGATGCAAAGCTTTCCTGTGGATAAGTTATTTACAGGCCTCTCTTTTTGTGTTGATCTATAACTTGCCTTCAATTTCTCATTGCTCTTTCAGAGTTTTAGCTCCAAAGTGTGCAGCGTGTGGACTTCCCATTCTGCCCTCTGAGGTGAGAGCCTTTTATTCCATATCCCCTTGGGGAGGGAGCATCATGTCTCAGGTCTTGCTCTCTTTGACACTTGACCCTATATCAAGATGAATGTGTTTATGGATGGGGAGAGATGGTCGTTTGCTCTGGAGTGCAGCCTTTTGACCTAAGCTCATACGCTGTTCTTGAGATGTGACACTTCTGCTCGATAGCGAAGCGGACAGGCTGCTTTTTTCATCTCCTGCAGGATTATGCTGCTGTAGTTTCATGTTCAGGATAATTTTCCTTTGTGTCCATAAATGTTGGTGGCACACATGAATGACTTCTGTGTGACCCCTCTGGGACTAACTCATTTTAATACTTGGAGGAGATGAATCTTAGCCAAAACTAATTTAAAATGCTGAGAAATGTGATCTAGTGAAATTACCAAATCATTAATGCATAATTTGAGGTAGATGTTACTGTTAAACAGAAAGAATTTTACCTTTCTGGTGTTACATTTTAGAGGATATCTGTAGTCAGTCAATGATGAAGCTTTGCTGTAAAAACAACTGCAAGTGGCAGGATTTATTTGCGGTCCCCAGCCAGCCACCCAGCTGCATTTCCTCAACATTCATTTTGTTGCAGGAAGCAATCTACAGAGTGCATGTGTCTGATCCTGCTGTAATCCTTTGTAATTTCTGCTTTGCTCAAATGCTTACAGGGGTCTGATGAGACCATTCGAGTTGTGTCCATGGAGAAGGATTACCATGTGGAATGTTATCACTGCGAGGTAGGTCAGAAGCTTTCCTGGGGAGTAGGCGCTTAATAGTGATAACTACTATTATTTTTAAGATGGAAATAAATGTCCTGCCTTCCAGTGGCAGTAGATGAGCAATTCAAACTTTGCATTGTGCGACTCTTTCCATTGGTGGCTGAAAAATATCCAGTTTGAGGACAAAAGTTTTTGCAGCAATGTGTTTCAGCTGCAATTTCATTTGCTATCCATAAAGTTATGGGCAAAGAGTTAGTTATTGCTTTTTAAACTTGGCAGTTTATTTGTTAATGAAGGAAGCATGGTGACTTAGTTAGGTTTATTGCTGCCTTTCAGAAACCTTGAGCTCCAGATCACATTTAGTGTATCTGATTTCCAAGTCAGATTGTTCAAAAATGCTAAGGCGATGACTGATCCTGTGGGGTGTAAGTTACCTTCACTCTCATAGGAAATGAACATGTCATTGGGAATGGACAAAGGATATGGCTGCACAAAAAAAAAAAAAATCCGGGAGATGCCAGCCCTAAAACACCTTTTGGTCTCCGTGCAGGTCTTCCAAGAAAGCCTTCATACTTCTGCGCTGTAAATTAAAACAAATAGTTGTCTTCCCTCACTGTGCTCATAATGGAGTGACAGGAGGCCCTGTCTCCACAGTCTGGTTTCACATCAGTGCAACTGTAATGTGAAGAGGTGAATCTTACCTGAGAGTATAAGGAGATATGAGCACATTTCAAATGTGGTCGCACCTTGCCACAAGATAAAGGTTATTCAATAAAACTGCTTAAGACAAATTTGTACAAGGCTGCCCATCACAATGCCTATGCCAGATGTTTTCCTTCTCATGACACACTGGAATTATTAGGAAGGAGCTGTTGGCTGGGTGTCTCCTGTCCTTGTCACAAAATCACCTTCCTGGAAGCCAGACCCAGCTCACACTGGAAGACAAACAGAAGCTCTAATAATTTGCACGGCCTCTCTTTGCAGGACTGTGGGATGGAACTGAACGATGAAGACGGGCATCGCTGTTACCCACTAGATGAACATTTGCTTTGTCACTCCTGTCATCTGAAACACATAGAGAATGGCACAACCCCAGCAGCTGCCTACCAGCACCACTACTAGCCAGCGTGGCTGACATCGGAAAGCCGGGACAGAAGACTTGTTACGTGATCTCCCTCTCCCTGCCCTCAGCTGATTTCCTGTGCATGTTTTTCGCCAGTCGGCAACATTTCTGTAAAAGGATATGAGAGATTTTTGGTGGATTCCCAGAGTTTGTATGCTTGTGGATTCCAGCTGTATCAAACCATGTCTACTTGACCAAGAATGTGGCATGTTATCTAAACTGATCAGTTTACTTTTATGTGCCTTTTTCTGCTGCCTGGAGATTCCTCTTGGCTCATTTTGGAAGATTCTTCAGTGAAAGCACAATTTGCTGTTGTGTCTATAAACTCAGATCATGTCATGCACAATTAAAAAGCCAGAGGCTGGCTTGTCTGCCTACCTGCCAGAGGCATCCTGTCAATCTACTGTTTCCTGACAAGCACATTTCATCAGGTTCCCTGAAGGACATCAATGTATTAGTACCAGTTTCTAGACAGTCTTTCTCTTTTTATTAATTCTTTAGGAAAAGAAAACAAAGGGGTCTGTGCAAAATGGCACACTCAGACCTTTCTGTTAATTCCCTGAACTCCAGTATCAAGTCTGACTGTAAAAGCACCAACTTTCTGAGCACAAACCAGGCATACTGTCTAGCAGCTGGAGGCTGACATCCCATTTCAAACAGAACAAAAAACTGGAACAAACTAGGCTAAGCTACTGCAATGACTTGGGGCCCAGGCTTGTGTGTCAGCACGACACACAGGGGCCAGTCTGCTGTGTCAGAGTCTGAATAGTGGATCATATTTGGAAAGGAAAGGTCGGGATGGTGAAAGTGTGGACACAGGGGAAATCCATCCTCATTCTTGCTTGCAGAGCTTGCTTTGAAAAAAAAGCTCTCTGTACACAGACACTTGGCCTGGGTTTTTCAGTTTGTCCCCACAACTCAACCCTCAGCCTGGCCACTCCTTTCCATGGTGTTTACCCAGCACAAAGCCATTTCATAATGGTGCTTATTTAGAACTCAGGGAGCAAACTCGAGATTGTTATGAAGGCTTTGTTACACAGGGATTTGGAACCCAGCTCCACAACCTGAACTCAGATGAGTATATTGGTATAAACAGATTTGCTCCTGTGAATAACAGCTTATCTGAGCAAGGAGTTAGCGAGTTTGGCCCTTACTTTCCATTCTGCTGAGAAAGCAGAAAGACAAATCATTTCTTTTTTGAACCCCCCCTGCTTTATAGTCAAAGAAATGTGCTCCCCCACAATATGTTACATGTATGATAGCTGTGCCTGCAGTGCATGTTCTGTACCTACCGAAGCTGTGCAGCCCCTAGCGTACAGGTACAAAGCTTTTGTTTAAGAAAAATCTCTTAATTTTAAGCCTTGGATGCGTTTGGGGATCTTAGCTACTATTTCCCACATTTTCTGTGGAAAACTACATAAATCCTCAAGTATCTATGCTAAAGATTTAAATTTGGTTCTGACTGGCAGAGGATGGGATGACATTCTTGAAGATCTTTTTGGTGAAGAAACTACAATAAATTAGCTGAGCAGTGGCACTGAGACTCACAAAAAGTGTCTGTGCCGAGAACTCACTACGGTTCAACCAAACCTCTTTTCCAGTAGCATGGATGTAGCTTGAACTTCACTTGATGTAGTCAGACTGCCTCGTGTACCCATCTGGAGCAGCACAGGTACCAGGTAGCAGCAAGCTGCCTGTCTCTGCCCATGCTAACAAACCAGCATGCCGTGGCTGAAATGTGAGTGTCTGCAACTGCACAAGCCTCGGGAGCCTGGTGGTTTTGGCACGGAGTTTCACGGGGCCGATGGACCATCCAGCCTTCTGCCCCATTCAGCTGTTACCACCTCTGCCTGTTCCTGCTACTCTTTGGGATGGGAATGGCAGCTCATGGCTGGAGGTTGATCCTGTGCCAGAAACCACCCAGACATGCAGCCCCTCAGTGAGAGACTGAAAGCTCAAGGTGGGGACTTTTCCACTGTGAAATATATGTCTTCCGGGAGTTTTATCTGTGGTTTTAGAGGAGGTAAAAGTGACCCCAAGTATGTGAGCCCCCTAGAGCCTTAAATTTAGCCTCCAAATGCTGGTTAGTGAAGGGATGGGAGCCAGCACAAAATATAAAAGGTGCTGTACCCAGGCAGGATGAACTGGGGGCAACAAAACAGCCCTGGGCAGATCTTGTAGTGCTCTCACCTTGGTGCATTGCATCAGCTTATGTCCTGCAGCACAGTTAGGCCAGAGCGGGAAGGGGAGTGTTCAGGGTGTGGCTGTGATCTTAGGACTGTCTGAAGGGACTGAGGTGGAAAATAACACCAGCTCACATCCCTGGTAAATAATTCAGATAGTCCTGGGCAGATAGCTCCCCTCCCTGAGCTGCTTTGGGCAGTAAAGGCAGTGAGGTATCAAAGTGGCTTTTGGAAGTGAGCTGGAAACACCAGCATTGGTCATCTGTTGCTGTCTCTGGGAGACCAGCTACTGTGTGGTTCATGCTTTTGCTAGCTCTTGATTTTTTTTTAGAGCAAGCCCTTGTGCACATTCTTTGGCCTTCATTTTGTAAAGATCTGAAAACACAAGTGGGATTGATACTTTCTTTTTAAGCTGCTGTTTAAACTTCTGTCTCACCCTTGTAGCCTTCCCCACAACCTCAAAATAAGCAGGAAAGAAGGGGATGGGGAGAAGGACAATTTTCCTTTGTGGAAAGCCTTGAGCAGCCAGCTTGTGGCAAGCTGTCTTGCAGGAGCTCTCTTTGCATCACCAGAAAGTTTGGCCTCTGCTCCCACACAGTATCGTCTTACCTCTGTCAGCCATCCCGTATCCCTCAGCATTGGGGAATGAAGGCTGCCCTACTTTCAGTTTTGAGGTTCCCTATAAATTAGTAAGTGCCAACACTCTTCTGTATTTACGAAGGGCTAGAAATGACAGTGTGAAAGTGTTGAAAAAGGAGCTTTGTGGTTTTGAAGCTAAAGCATCTACTTCATTGCCCTGCACCTCTTTGTGTGCTAACTTACACCAAATCTGTCTTTGGGAGTTGGAATTCATTTAAGCTCGGTATTATTTCTCCCAGGCTGTGGGTGTCCGAGTCCCTGTTGATTTTTCCCAGCTTGTCCCTGACTGTGCAGCTGCCTGATAGTAGGTCCAGCACAGGGAGAGGCAGGGGCATCCTGCACAGGGAAGGGAGACTTCTCCTCCTGACCCTCTGCCAGCTGTCTGTGGAGCTGCAAGCCCTCACTGCCTGACTTCAGGCAGCTCCCCCAAAGGAAAAATTGTAGCTCTGGTGCTGGAGGTGTGAGGCTTTGCATGCTCTGCAGAAGAAGTTCAAAATACTTGTTAAATTCTGCCTATCCCCTGGCTGATACGTGTTGGGTTTTGCTGTTCACGTGAACCTTGTTGCCTTTTAATTTATTAAGATACGGAAACGTGCTATGAAAAAGTAGTCTTGGTTCCTCCCCCATCGAGTTCTTCTGACTGGTTTTAGAGTAGGGGACCCTTGGAAGTCCCATTGTGCTGGTAATGAGTAACTCTCATGCAAATAGTTATTCAAGTGAATTCCCTGAAGCCTGTTTTCAGGAACCAGAGCTTAGGAGATTTTTTTCATTCAGGTCATGCTGTTAAATTTCTATTGCTTAGAATACAGAAACTCATTTAAATAGGGATTTTTGCATAAGAGCCGGGGGAAAACCCCAGCTATAGAAGAAGCAGACACTTTTGTGTAATTTAAAGTGTAAGAAACACCTGTGATCAAAGTGATTTTTGAAATTGCCCTGATATTAAAACACAGGGAACAGCAGTTTCAAACACCCTAGCGAGCAGTGTTTGAAGAGATCTGTGGTTCTTCAGTTTCTGAGTTTCATTTGGGGGCTTTTAAAATATTTTCCCAGTCTTTCAGACTTTAAATGATTATAATTTTTTTAGATCTTTTTACTACAAAGTGAATAGCTGCTTAGTCTGGAAATGGTGGAGTTTTCATCAACATCGGGTGTGCTGTGGCAGCCTTGAAAGGGAGAAACTGGGCTTCTAAGAGCTGGTATGGCTCTGGCTGGTCATTCAAAAGAGAGGAATATCTTTGGCTGCCGAGGGAAAAAAGTCACGTGGGCCTTGACTGCCTGCTACGTGCTCACCTTTGGGGTGGTGTGTGCTGTTGTGTCTGTGCACCTGGATGTGTGGTACGTGCTGCCTCTGAGACACCTGCCTTTCACACCTCTGTGCCCATGCCAAGTGCTTGTAGGTGCATCGTAAGCAACTTTCTGTGCATGAATGTAAGGACAAGTTGACCCAGGCTTCATCACTGGGAAGATATCTCTGGAGTCAGTACCTATGGGCAGGGAAGGGCTATGGCCAGATACACATCCCTTTTCTCCCATCTTCTGAATGCCTGCACCACTGGGAGAAGCTGGGAAGGAGTTTGCATCTCTCATTGTGCAGCATTCATGTGTTCATTTTTCTTTTCCATTTCTGTGTCCTGCCATGAGCCCAGACAGAGCCTGGAGCTGCCACCCACCCTTTTCCTATAGAGAAGCAAAGCTTTCCTGAGAATAAAAATCCTTACCCACTTTCTTCCAGGGCAGCCAGAAGCTTGCATGGCAGTATACATCCATAGCCCACTAAAGACAAGATAAGAGATGGGAAGAAACTGTCCCCACATGAAAAAACATGGCATAGAGCCCTGTGAAGGCAGGAATGCCCTGCAGCCCTGGTATAGGGATGACGGGGCTGCAGTTCCCAGCCCTGCTGGCACCGACCCTCTTCCCCACGCAGCAGGTCTGCGGCTCATGGCCCGGAAGGGACCCAGGCACACACACAGGCTGTGGCTTTCTGTATGCAGAAAGCACATCCAGAGCCTGGCTAGTGATACTGAATGGTACTAATTATTTTATGTTTCATTCAAAGCTCAGCTCCGGGAGAGAGTATTTTAGGATTTGTGCTGGTGTAACTAACCTTAGCCTCCTGTGAACACAGACCTCTTTTCTTCTGTGCTGTTAAGTATTTATAAAGAATGAAGACTGGTAGCAGAACAAAGCCACTGGCCTGTTGTGATTTCAGTGATTAAACACAGTATCTTAAGCAGCACTAAGAGTCACGTCTTTCCTAACGTTATGATGATTGTCAGCACCCGGAGTCCACAGGGGGGGAGTAATGCTGTGAAATGATGGTTTCCCAACCTCTGCTTTCCTCCTGTCCCCACCCCCCATCAGTGGCTGCAGTACGGACTGGTGGGGGGGCACCTGTCAGCGGGGTTCTCTGGGGATTTCCAGTCCTTTGCAGACAGCTGGTACTTGCTGCATCAGAGGCTGTCTTGCTCTGGCATCCATCTGGGGAGACCCCGGTACTGGACTAAGGAGCTGGGAGGGATGTGCTGCATGTGGGAGCAGATTCTGGGCCCAGCATGGGGGTCTCCTTTGCAGCATTCATGGGAATGGATTCTTTACAGGGTTTTGGATAGCATTGCCATGGATAGCATTGCCATGGATCTGGGAGGCAGGCGGCCACATGGTAACAGTGACCATGACGCCTCATGTCTGAAGACTTGATGTTCCTGGATACTGCTGGCCAAGCAGCACTGCAGCAGCATGGAGCTATCAGCTAATATGAAGCAAATAAACAGGAATAACTAATTAGAGTTTGGGGTTTCCCCTCCTTGATGCAAGAAGCTGTCCAAACCCAGGGCACGACACTCAGCAGGCTGGATCCAGTGGGAAATTGGCCAGGAGGTGCCCCAGGCTTGCTCTGTGCCAAACCCCATGACCTGGGCTCATTTCCCCTTGCAGACGGGATGCCCAGGTGGACAACAGCTGTCCAGAAGGTGGTGCCCATGGTGGGGAGGCTGCCAAGGGCAGGAAACCCTGCAACACCACCCAACCCTGGGGGGTTTGGAGGCCCCCATGCTGGGTGCATGAGGGTTCCCGCCCTAGGTCTGTGTAGTAGTGTGGGGGCTGCTGGCAGCACCCTCGGACCGAAGTCCAGGAGAGTAAAATAAAACACAGGGAGAAAACGGCGGGAGGGAAAAAAAAAAAAAAAGAGCAGCCGAGCCAGCCAGGAGTCGAACCTAGAATCTTCTGATCCGTAGTCAGACGCGTTATCCATTGCGCCACTGGCCCTGCTCGGTATGGTGGATCAGTCCCTGAGCCCTTCAGCGCAGCTCTCGCGCGCGGCCTCAGCCAATGGCGAGGCCGCCGAGCCTGGTCGGCTCCGCCCCTGCCTTCCAATAGGCGGCGCCCCCTTCCCTTGGGTCCCCAGCGCGACCCGCGGAGGTTTGTCCGAGTGGGGCCCCGTCGCCTGCCAGCCCGGGCGCCGCCGGTCAGGCAGTCTGCTCAGTCAGTCAGTGATTCGGGCGGGCGGGGCGGAGTTAGCCGGGTAGGGCCGCGTTTGGAGCGGCGCCGGCCCGCAGGGCCGGGACAGCCCCCACGAGGCCACGGATGGCGACGGCGGCACCCGCGGGAACCACGGCGCCGGCGGCCTACACCAGCCTGAAGCTGTTGAGTGACCCGCCGGGGGCGGGGGCGGGAACGCGGCTCTGGCACCTGCCGGACGGAAGCGAGGGAGGGAGAAGGAAGGGCAGGAGCCGCCGGCGGCGAGGCGGCCGCTTGTCCCGTCCCTTTACTGCCCGTGCCCTTCCTGGCCTGCCCGCCTGGCCCTCCCCACGGCCTTGGACTCCCTCGCTGTCCCAGGTTAGGACGCGGAAGGGCTTGGCCTGAGGCGGCAGCCCGGGCGGAGGAGGGGGGGATGAGGGAGAAGGACTTTGGCCGCGGACACGGCACCGGTCCCCTGTCACCGTCCATCCCACAGCGCTGCGGGCGGGCGGCTCCCGTGTCCCTGTCGCTTCCCTCCCGCGTGTACAGGAGGACGGTGCCTGCCTGGCTTCCCTCGGCGTGAGGAGCCCGGGCTGCCCAGAGAGGTCGTGGAGTCTCCTTCTTCGGAGACATTCCAAACCCACCCGGAGGCGTTCCCGTGTCACCTGCTAGAGGTGACCCTGCCTGGGCAGCGGGGTTGGACCAGGTGATCTCCAGAGGTCCCTTCCAACCCGGATAATTCTGTGATTCCGCATTCTTGCTTGTAGGTGGCAGCTGTAGGGCTCGGGCGCTGTGTAAAGCTGTGTGTATGCAGCGCTGCTTGCCAGCAGATTTCCTACTCGTACTCGCCCATCGGTTTCTCATGGCACAGCTGGGGGTTTTTTTGTCATTTGATGGTTTTGATGCCAGTTAATGAGTTTGAACTGTGATGACTTTGAACTTTGCGGGCTCTCCAGTGCAGTGCCTGCTATGACTTTTCCAAATAAATTCTCATAACCTCCCGGTGTAATTTTTTTATTAAAACAAATACTTTCTTAGGGGGAGGATGTAACCCTTTAAATGTGTGTGTGCCAGATGTTTGTTTGTTGCCTTTAATACAGCAGAAGAAGTTGCGTAACCAAAAGCAGTACGAAGTTAACACTGCAAGAGGCATCTCCATTATAAACCCTCACACGGGCCAGTTCAAATTCCCGAGGAAATTACTCTGGGCATGAGATTCTTCATGACTGTCTGAAGCTGAAAGTGAAGTTTCTTTTTGTGTCCTAAAGGCGTTCCCAGGCTTTTGACCTCTAAGTAGTAGCTTGAAACTCTGTAATTGAGTTACCCATGCCATTTTCAGGAAGCAGTATCTGAAAGTGATTCTTAAGCCTGATTTACTGTGCTTAATGCTCTGTTAAATTTCATTTGACAGTCATCTTTTGGATTCAGAGCAAACATACTTAGATCTTTTGGAGGTCTGTATAAACAGTTTGCCATAATGCTGTTAGGTGTTTCAAAGTCACTGGGCTTCTTATTTTGATCAAACAGTTCTGTGAGGGTACACGGGCACTGGAGATAACTGAGTACTGCTGAGGAGTAAGATCAGTGATGGCTGAAAGACTTGTTTATTTGGCAGAAAGCTTTTTTTCCCCTTGTCACCTAAACAGTATTTGTCTTTCTTTAAGCTGATCTTGTGATCTTTTTGCCTGCAGAGGAGCAAAGGTGAGTTGTGCGAGTAGCAGTTGTGTGGCTTGTAGTACAGAGTTGTTATTACTGAGAATTTTTTCAAGTAAAAGCACTTCTCTGGATACAGGCTAGTAAAGAATTCTTTCATTCAGAGTTTAGTCTTAGCTAAAAGTAAGCTTTGATCTTTTTAGAAGGTTGTCTCAAATGTAGTTTAACATGATTTTTTTCATAAACAATTGTGTTCTGAAAAATGAGGTTTGGGTTTTTCTTTTTGTTACACCAAGTTGTGGTATGCCTGCAGACTTTCAACCATGCATTTGAAGATATAAGGTCATAACTTGGGTGATGAGTCAAACTTAGCAGGTTGACAAGGTCAAAGGAGAATGTTCTTCTGAGAAATCCGGGCTAGACTTGAGTTTGGGGATTTAATGGTGGTAGCAGTGTTTGGCTTAGTTTTTTAATCTGACTATTCATTCTCACTATGCAAAAGTCAGATTCTGCAGCTGTACTTCATCTGGGTAGTCTGGGGGATGGATCTTCACTGACTGTAGTGCTCCGCAGGCTCCCATCCCATACATCCAGCTGTGGGTTCTAGCTCTGAACTCAAACCTCTTGTGTTTTTCATGTTATCAAAAGTCAAGGTTCAAGCCCTTTGTGCTTTGACCGGTCTCATCAGTCAAGTTCAGGTGATACCAGTAAAAATGCTGATGCCTCAAATCTGTATTACTGTTGGAACTATTTGAGTTACACCAACAGTTATCGGGGAAAACTATAAATGTGAAAACTGCTGTCCATAGTTGTCATCTGTGGCACTGCTATACCTACTGAACTTCCTCTTGTAGCCTTGGGAATAAACTGTAAAGTTCAACCAGCTGTTGTAGGTATTTTATCCCTTACTTGTGGGTAGTAGTACAGCTACCAGTCCAGTTAATATATAAAAACTGATTGTTAAAGCTGTTTGCAGAATAGAGAAAATCCTGGCTGTTGTTTTGGCTCAGTTAAAATCACTTTTTTTTTTTTTTTTTTTTTTTACTTTGTGCTTGGATGAAGACTTAAGTTGCTACTTGCTACTACTTATCTTAGTATCATATGGGTCCATGACACTAGCTGGGTTTCAAATTTAACTCCTCCTGCCCACAGTTATGCTGCCTTATGTGCTTTGTGAAAGTTCTTGTCAGTCTTTAGTAGCCACTGCACCTGAACACAGTGCCTTCTGCTTGTCTGTATTTGGGGAGAGGTCTTAAAGTGCATCTTGTTTTTGGTTTTTTTTTTTGCTAGTTTTCTAAAATGAGTTTTCAGAGCTTGGGTAACACTTCTAGAAGGAATAACTACACATCCCTTTTTTCTACTCAGTCTAAGAGGCTGCCAGGGTGAAGCTCAGGGATGTTGGTAGAGCAGGAAGCCAACTTAAGCTGTAAATTATTTTCATTTTAAGTGAAACTTCACTGGAAATAGATGTTATGTAGCTGTGCCTTTAATACGTCTTTTTTTTTCTAATGTTTTTTTCCACTGCTGTTTTCTAAATCCTGGGTTTCTTTTCCCTGCTCTATGGGAGATGTTCCAGTTCTTTGAGCTGTTTTCTGCTTGAGGAGAGTAATATTTATGGGAGACATATAATTAGCACACCTGCTCACCTAGAAAATCTGGAATCTCTGGAGTGCTGAAACCACCAGCATGTTAGCACTGTTACTTAACATACTGCTGGAACTCTGTGCATAAACTACCACCTTTTCTGTGTCTCACTGCAGACAAATTTGCTGTACTCAAGACACCAAAGGCATCCCTGCACAGTACAGAGTGTGCTTTTGTCTTGCTTTATTATAGTATTTAGGGGCTGACATCAAAGAGTTTCCTGCGTTAGAGCATTGTTAAGTATTTATGGTGAAATAATCAATTGCTGAAGTAAGGGTTTGGCTGCTGAGACCTAGAAGGCTTAAGTGATATTGGGTGAAGTACTATCTTTAGTGGCCATTAGAGCATGATGGGTCCTCTTTCATGCTGTATCTGAATACAGGAATATTCCTATCTGTAAGATCAGTCTAATTAAAATGAGGGATGCAACTGTGCATCATCTTTTTGATATACAATGATGCTTTATAGTATAATTAATGAAGT